CAGTTTACAAGGGGCTGAGGGTTGCATTGGACCATATCACCTATTGAGCTCTGCCTCATGGTTTGTTGTTGTTGCTTTTAAATAATGCAATAGGAAGCATTATTAGGGCTTTGGGATAAAGACCAGGTTTGAATCTAGCTGTGACATTTTCAAGCTGGGTGACCTTGTTTAAGAGATGAACTGGATTTTGGTTTCCTCATTTGCAAAGTAGGGAGAACATGACCCACCCACCCTCAGGAGCTGTAAGAACAATAAGAGATAAGGTGCATGAAATATGTAGGACTCAACACAGGTGTTCATGAGTGAATTTCTTAGCCTTTCTATTAAAATACCCATCCATTGGATTACTCAACACATTTGCTTCCAGCACTTACTGAATGCCAGGAACTGTGCTAAGTTCTAGAAATATTGCAGTCAAGGCAGACAAGGTTCCTACACTGTGGAGCTCCTGGGGACATATAGATATGAAACATCTAAGTACTATTATCAGATTCTGATACATATGATGTTTTTTAAAAACTCAGACAGGATAATATGATAAAGAGTAACTAGGGAAGACAGGGAGAATATCAAAGGGCATAGGAAGGAAGCAGTATGAAATGATACAGCACCTCATTAGAACTGTAATCAATCGCTCTCTCTTTTATGTGGGTCTTGATGCAGACAACACTAACGATAAGGTTAGTTTGAAGCCTCTTGTAACATCTGCTTCTTTTTTGGTCTCTGGGAACAAATGTGCTACTACTGATGAAGAGAAGATTATTGGCAGGGAAGAGAAAAACAAAGTGCAGTAAAGGCAAGTTTTCTTTCCTTTAAAAAAAAATTTTAAATTGATTTTTAGAGAGAAGGAGAGAGAGAGAGCGCAAAACATTGATCTGTTGCTCCACTTATTTATGCATTTATTGGTTGATTCTTGTAGGTGTCCTGACCAGGGATCAAAGCCACAACTTTGGCATATTGGGACGATGCTCAACCAAGTGGGCTACCCAGCCAGGGCCAAAGGTAAAATTTTCAAACAAGCTTGAGATAGTGTAAAAGTCTAGTATTTGACTAAAACATCTAAACTCAATTCCATTTACAACTGAGGGCAAGTGAGAACCCTCCCTGCTCTGCAGTCACCTACATCTCAACAGCCCTGCCCTGCAGATTAGCTGCCTTTCCAGCCCCCCAGCCTGGCAGCTGTGTAGAGGGGGCAGCATGAACTACCTGGAGGCACCGGGCCAGGTGGCCTGGGCACAAAGGCCACAGATTTCTCTGTTCCAACCCGGAAAAGGATGGAGATAGATCTTATTCCTCTCACTAAGGACACATTTTCTCTGAAGTTCTTCCAGACTTTCTAAAGATGTAAATGTTAATATGTACGCCAGGGTCTCTCTCCCCTCATCATCCATTTAAAACAGGCAAAGAGCTCTCCTTTGGGTCCGGAAAGGTCTGGAAGTGTCATGGCAGCCAGCCTGGGCAGTCTGAGGCCTGTCCTTGCTGCACACTGGTGACCCACATCTTAAAACTTTCCTATCCCTGGGCAGCTGGTGTGGCTCCGTGAGTGAGCATTATCCTGTGCACCAAGAGGTCCGGGTTCCACTCCCAGTCAGGCACATGCCGGGCTTCAGGCTCGATCCCCATCAGGGGGCATGCAGGAGGCAGCCGATCAATGTATCTCTCTCTTCCTCTCTCTTAAAAGCAATAAAGGAAAAATGTATGTTTAAAAAAGAATATGCTTAAAACAACAACTTTCCTATCCTTGTAAGTAGAAGAAATAAAAGAGAAATGGGACACAGAGAAACTCAGTTGCAAAATCATCTGGTTTTGGTAAGTAAAGCGGCGAAGTTAAGCAGCCTCGGTGAAAATAGAAGAATCCCGTGGGATGCAAAGCCCCGAAGCCCACCTGCAGGGCATTGTTCACGCAGGAAAGCAGGACAAAGCCGGCGTGATCTGAGAGGGGGTGTCCAGTGCGGAGGTGACAAGGAAGGCAAAGTGAAGCCCCTACACTGTCCTGGGCTGGCTCTTGCCAGTCAGAGGTGCAAAGAGGAAGCTTCTGGCCAGAATTATGGACAATCGCTAGCAGCCAGACCAGCAGCTCCGTCACGGCCCAACTCAGGCATGCTCCTGCGGGTGGGCCAGCAGCCATGCCCCGCCCCGCCCCGCCCCGCACAGACACTCCAGCCTGCAGCTTCCCACCCGTGGGCTGTGCTGATGGGACAGGTTGGTGGAAACAAGCTTGTAGGATCAGATTATACAGATGGCTCTTTATATTAAGTGGAGTTATTCTATAACCAATACATATGACAGAACAGAAAATACTGTACTCAGTGTTTTCTATAAGAAAATAATGTACTAGGCAATATAAATGAATACACACAGGTAAAGTAGATAGAAGGGAATGGTAGTCCTGGCCATTTTTATTTAACCAACAGTACAATTAAAAACTATATCTTGGTGGGGGAGGTTGGTGGGAGGTGGAAGAGGGCCTAGAGGGGATAAATGGTGATGGAAAAAATTAAATGAAAAAACAAAACAAAACTATATTTATACAGTATATTCATTCCAATACAGAGTTTGACCAAAAGCAGATTGGATCAGTTATAGTGCTTATCTTAAGATTCCACTGGTGTGTTTCTATCAAATGATAAAATGTTGTGATAGGCAATTTAAACAGTTTTCCCTCTTACTGGATGTAACGGAAGTTATAATATGCTAATGTGCTTTATAAATTTCCAAGAGAAGAATAAAGTATAAAAAACTGTCTAGCCCAGCCGGTGTGGCTCAGTGGTTGAGCATCGACCCATGCACCAAGAGGTCAGTAGTTCGATTCCCGGTCAGGGCACATGCCCAGGTTGTGGGCCAAATCCCTGGGGCAGGGGCATGCAGGAGGCAGCCAATCGATGTTCTCTCTCATCGATGTTTCTATCTCCCTCTCCCTCTCCCTTCCTCTCTCTAAAAGCAATGAAGAAAAAAATAATTAAAAAAAATAAAATAAAACTGTCTTGATCACAGAAGCTCAGGACAGGATATTTTGCTGGACAAGAGAGCTGTGCAGCACAATGTTGGAAGTGTTGCTCTAGTAAATTCTATACTGCTCTACAACATATGAAAACTATTGTACAAGCCCTAAGAAACTAAGAATATAAACCATGTGAAATATGAGCTTATGGAATTGGAAAAAAATATACCAGGTTGCCCATCTATCAGAGTATATACATTAAGGAGTTAATTACTTAGTCAATAGACAATGCCTAGAACAATTATGCATGTTCATCAATGATAATGCACTAAAGTCAATTAAATACAATTGGCCAAGCAAAACAAGGTCCTTTGCCGCAATAGAAATGCTTTGCTTTCCACAAAGGAAACGAGCTTAAGTCAAAGTCCCACGGGCAAGTGAGTGTATGCTCAGGACTAAAGCGCTGTGCCAACAATAATTTATACTAGTACTTTACTGTGGAAATAAAATATAAAACCCTTCCCATAGCCAAGAGTTCCATTAGAAAATGAAAAAAAATCGGCCTCGGCACAGATACAAACGCTCGCCCTTTATGCTCCTGGCCAACTTTCCTGCTCTGGGTCCCTCTGGTGCTGTGCCCACCGCAGAACGAAGGAGGTGGGCAGGGACTCTAACACAGGCCACCTTAGCCAGCAAGGCTTCGAGGCCTTGGGCAGAGCACCGCCCTGGGAGCCTGTGCTGCAGGTATGAACCAGGGTTCAGACTGGCCGGGGTGGGGTAGGGGTGGGCAGAGTCAGCCCCTAGTCACACCAGCGCTGATTACCCAGACTGCGGTGACCTGTGCTCTGGGCTCCTGTGCGCCAGCCTCTGTGCCCACCTTTCTTTCCCAGTGGAAAGAGCAATGCCAGAGGGAAGGTGCTGGAAATCAGAGCTGGGCAGATCCAAGTCAGGCCTGTTGCTTCACTGGGCTGCTGCTCTAGAAGCATGGACGGGAGAGGACGCAACTGGAGTGACAGGGGAATGATCTGTCGCTTTCGAGCGTTCTGCGTCCTGCCATGGTCCCAATCAAGAGATAAACTTCCTCTGTGGAATGTTTTACAGACGACAGAAACACACACACACACACACACACACACACACACACACACTTGCTAGATAAAGGTGTTTTCAAGCAGAAAAGCAATGCACTCAACATCCTCTTGTATCATATTTTGGTATAAATAAAAAACAATGTGTGTGTGTGTATACACTGATGTATATGCACATATGTGTATATGCATACATATATACAAGAAGTCTGGAAGCATAGAGATCAAAATGTTAACAGTGCTACACTGTATTGTATGTGTTTTACACTTCAATAAAACTGTTTAAAATGTTAACGGTGGTTGTCTCTGAGCAAGGAAAGATTACAAACAACTATAATTTCTTTTTCTGTTTGTTATTTTCCAAATTTTCTTGACTATATATGTACTACTTTGGTACTAAAAAGACGTAAACATTCTTTTAAAAAATCTTACACAATTCATTCTATTTTTTTATATTTGTGTAGTTCTTTGTACTTCATCAAGTGTTTCTACGTATTTAATTCCTAAAACTTCCGAGGTAATACGGCTGTCGTTCCAGAAAGGAGGACACTGGCGCGGAGCCGCACGGAACTCGGACTTTCTCAGAGCCAGTGGGCTGGGGACCCGCAGAGCCCGGCCGTGAACCCAGTTCGCCTCCCGCGGGGACGCGCTCCACACAGAACAGAGGTAGGAGAGTTATTATATCAGATTTCAGCAAACAGAAACCTTTTGTTTTCACACTCAGTGTTGGTGAAGGGAAGAAATGTGAACAACCACGGTGCTTTGGAGACAGGGAGGCACAACGAGAGGGCTAGGAAAACGCTTCCTCCCAGTTGCCACATCAGATGCTCTTGGCTCCCTTTCAACCCCATTCAGAAAGGGAAGAGGAGACTTGAAAAAATTTGGGAGCGAACACTGAGGGTGCGAAAGCACAGATGGACCAACAGTAAACTGAAGCGGGAGGTCTTCCGACACCGCTCTGTGGGAGGTACCTTCATTCCCGCCGCTGCCGCAGGGCCACTGGGGTCCACGGCCTGGATGTGGCATGGCTTACTCCCTCGCACCACGAAGCCCCAGCCAACAGCGTCACCGACGATCTGCAGAGGAGAACCACAATGAGCAGCCAGCAGACGGCCTGGCAACCCGCCTGCCCTTCCCAGAGTGAGAAAGCTGGCCCAGGGGGCACTGCAGTTTGCTGTTATCCGGGCAAGTCTGTTCTGCCCCATCTCCACCCGGCAAGGGAGCGGAGGGAACACTCTGCTTCTCTGGCAAACACAGGCCCACGGATGCAGAAGATGCGGTCAAGAAACACTTGTTTGGCAAAAGGCAGCCTCTTCTGGGAGGGCACTACTCAGTGCACAACCAACCAGGCGCGGCGCCTCGCTCCCAGGCTGCTCGGCAATGTCCCATCAGGGTTCAGTGGGAAGCTCAGAGCGTCTTCGCCACGTGGTTGAACCTTCTCTCCAGACCCCATTTTTACTGCGTTTGCTCCTTTTCTCTAAATCTAAATGACATTTTCTTGATGCTCCTGCTGCGTCACTGTGGTCTCAAGTAACAATTTAAATGACTACTGCTGACAAATACGAAGAGCCTTGGCTTTCTCTACCAACCAAAGAAAGTGAAAAGTCCACAAAGTTCACAATTTACAAGTAGATGCTGATCCAAAAGGTATCTGCAACCAGAGGGTGACTTTTCCCACAGAACTGCTCTTAGAAATGGCAGTTCCGTCCCCTGGGTGGCTCCCAGACATGTCAGTAACTGAAGTACAGACAAAATAGTCACAATCAAGTCCTAGCAATGCCGGCACTGAAATTTTAAACCAAAAAGAGCCCCGGCCCATTTGGCTCAGCGGTTAGAGCATTGGCCTGCGGACCAGAGCTGTGGGTTGGATTCTGGTCAAGGACATGTACAGTCCCTGGCGCTGGTCAGGGTCATGCGGGAGGGTAGCCAGTCAATGTTTCTCTCCCCCCCGTCCCCGCCCCACTCTATCTGAAGATAAATGAGGAATATCCTTGGGTGAGGATTAAAAAAAAAAAAGTAAAACCAAAAGGAAATACTTTAAAAATACAGTCAACTGTCTCTTGAATAATTACAGCCTGAGGAAAGGCAGGGAAACCAATGAAACTTCGACAGACATTCTCAAAGATTGTAGGCACTTCATTGGCTGTAGGGTTTGCTGTTATCCGTTCATCGTGCCTAGTTTCAGTTCACCCTTTCCCCTGCGGCAGACGCACTCGCAGTGTGTTTGCACAGTGACTGGCTGTGACTGGGACCCTCCTGTGTAACGGCTCGGTGCTCAGAATGCGAACCAGTCCTTGACTGATGTTGGCAGTGTAAATGAGTATGCAAAGATCTTCCCCACCGAGTCCATAAAGAAAAGGTAGAAGAGGAGAAGTGTTTAAAAAGGAGGTCAATGGAGGTCTGGCCGGTTTGGCTCAGCGGTTGGAGCGTCGGCCTGCGGTCCGGAGAGACCCCGGTTCGGTTCCCGCTAAGGGCATGTACCTCAGTTGCAGTTTGTCCCCAGCCCTGGTTGGGGTTGTGTAGGTGGCAACCAGTCGATATGTCTCTCTCACATTGATGTTTCTCTCTCTTTCTCTTCCTCCCTCTCTCCCTCCTGCTCTATCTGAAGATAAAGGGGGAAAAAATGTGCTCGGGTGAGGATAAAAAAAATAAGTAAGTAAATAAAATAAAAAGGAGGTCAATGGAGACGTGGAGAGACTGAGGAAGAGGCCAGGGGAAGGGGAGGGGAGAGGTGCTTTCAGACAGAGCACGTGGATTCTGTGTGAGAAAACCAGTGGGGTCAGTAGGGGTGGGAGGAAGGCTGAAGGACCTCCCGAAAGGGGCAGGTGGTCAGGTGCTCAAGGTACGCAGTGCTCCCCAATCAGGTGCATAGAGCAGTCAAGACGTGTTAACACTGCCAAAAGCACCATTCCTTATGCTAGACTAATTTATCCCTCAGTTTTCTTTCTCTACCTAAAGACTCTCCTACTGTCTTAAATGGTTTTTAGAATTAACTGTAACCCAGAAGGGATTATTGACTATTTGTGCTACCAATTGCCCTAGAATCTGTAATTATATCACACAATAGAAATCTTTTTATAAGGACACATCAAAAGGAGTTTTACATTAATAATAAATCATGCCAAGACTTAAAGCATTTTAGTGCCTAAGGGTCAAGAAGGCCCACGAGTATAATTATGCCATAAACAAAAGGAAAATTTCTTCAGTTCCATCTGTAAAATACACATGGACACACTGACATGTTGGCATGGCCCAGAAAAACCAGCAGCACAGGAGAAAACCCAAATAACGAGCCTACCGTGAACGTCTTCCTCGCGTACGGTGCTCCGGGAGTCAGGAGTTCCTCGGAAGTGACGGGTCTCTTTAACACTGTAAGACAGACACAGACAGAACCAAGGTGCATCTCTGGGCCCTCATTCATTCTCAGCAGGTATCTGCCTGCACGCCTCAGATGTGACCATTGGGGAACAAAAGGGGGAAAGGTCCCTGCCTCACAGTGTATACTCTAGCTGAGTGAAGACAGAAAATATTAGCAAACATAGATAAGCCTACACCTAACTTACAGAGCTATGGGAGGAAGAAGAAATGGAGCAGCGTAAAGGGAAGAAAGAGGGCCAGGGAGGGGGTAAGAAGTGGGCTCACCACACACAGTTACAAATGTTATTTTCTTGTGATGAGAACTTTTAAGACCTACTCTCTTAGCAACTTTCAAATACACATTGCAATGTTATTAATGATAGTCACCATGCTGTATACGACATCCCCAGTACTGATTTATTTTATAAAAGAAGTTTCTACCTTTTGACCATGATCTCCCATTTTGCCCAGCCCATCCCCTCAACTCCGGTAACCACCGATCTGTTCTCTGTATCTCTCAGTTTGTTTTTGTTTTTCAGATTCCACATATAAGTAAGATCATATAATATTTATCTTTCTCTGTATGACTTAATCTCACTTATCATAATACACTCCAGGTCCACCCGTGTTATTGCAGATGGCAAAAAATTGAAAAAATGACAGAAAATTTCCCTTACCTGGTGAAAGAAATAGACATACAAGTCCAGGAAGCCCAGAATGTCCCAAACAAGATGAATCCAAAGAAGCCCACACCAATACACATCATAATTAATGCCAAAGGTTAAAGACAAAGAGAGAATCTTAAAAGCAGCAAAATAAAAGCAGTTAGTTACCTACAAGGGAACGACCATAAGACTGCCAGCTGATCTCAACAGAAACTTTGCAGACCAGAAGGACATGGCAAGAAATATTCAAAGTGCTGAAAAGCAATGACCTACAACCAAGATAACTACCCAGCAAAGCTATCATTTAGAATTGAAGGTCAGATAAAGAGCTTCCCAGACGAGAAAAAGAGTTCATCACCATCAAACCAGTATTACACGAAATGTTAAAGGGTCCATCCCCTGGCTGGTTTGGCTCAGAGGTTAGAGCGTTGGCCCACGGACCAGAGTCACAGGTTTGATTCCAGCCAAGGGCATGTATTGGCTGTGGTTTGTCCCCGGCCCTGGTGGGGTCATGCGGGAGGTAGTCAGTCAATGTGTTTCTCTCACATTGATGTTTCTCTCTCTCTCCTTCCCTTCCACTTTATCTAAAGATAAATGGAAAAAGTATCCTCAAGTAAGGATTAAAAAATATATATTAAAGAATCTTCTTTAAGGAGAAAAAGAAAAAAGAGATTAAAAATATGAACAATAAAATGGCAATAAATATATATCTATCAATAACTGAATCTAAAAATCAAAATAAACAAGCAGAATAGAAACAGACACATAGATATAGAAAATATTTTGATGGTAGCCAGACAGGAGGGGCTGGGGGGGATGGGTGAAAAGGTGAAGAGATTTAAAAGTACAAATTAGTAGTTATTGTGTAGTCACAGGGGTGTAAAGTACAGCATAAGGAATATAGTCAATAATATTCTAATAACTATGCATGGTGTCAGATGGGTATGAGATTTTTGGGGATGATCATTTAATAAGTTTTATAAGGTCTAATCACTGGGGTGTACACCTGAAACTGATATAATATTGTATGTCAACTATAACTGAAAAATAAAAAATGATTTTTTAAAAAGTAAAAAAAAAAATCACAGATAAACTCACTGTATCTTGGGATCTCTCTTAAGAATGATGGAGCCCAGCTGGTGTGGTTCAGTGGTTGAGCATCAACTCATGCACCAAGAGGTCGCCAGTTTGATTCCCGGTCAGGACACATGCCCAGGTTGTGGGCCAAATCTCCAGTGGGGGGCATGCAGGAGGCAGCCAATTGATGTTCTCTCTCATTAATGTTTCTATCTTTCTCTCCCTCTCCCTTTCTCTCGCTCTAAAATCAATAAAGAAAAAAATAGAAATAGAATGATGGAGAAGCTTGTCAGAGTATGGGTGAGATGTAGGACTTATGAACCACAATAAGTCCTGATAGTTCTGGTCCTTAAAGACACCAAAAAAAGGCAACCTGATCTTTCTTTTCTGCCTGCATATCAGTAAACCTTTCCCTTTGAACCAAGGAGTAAGGAGAAAGAGGCAACAATACAACCCATCTTAGGGAAGATGGGTTAATTTAAGTAATTAACACTTTGCTCATATTCCACTACTGTATGCACTAAAAAACCCCCAAAAAACACTAAAATGACTTAGCACAACCTACCCTTTCTTGAAACAAACTCTTTTGCTTCTAACTTTGAGAATAATTGTCAAATTTCTACCAAGGCTTAAAACATCCTATTTCTAAGAATATAGTTCTCTTTTCTTATTCTACCTTATCAGAAATACTCAATTCACTGAAAAACCCAGTAGCATAGGAGGGCTCCATGATTTTCCAGCCAGAGTCAGTGTGGAAGCAAGTTTCTTCACTCACATGCAAGTTATAACTTTATTCTTAGGGCTAACCCTCTGGAAGGCAGCAAAAATAAAAAGAAAAATGTTTGATTTAAAAAATACCCAATTGCCTACATAACAGCATTAGATGACAGAGTTTTCTCTTAAAGCCCTTCTAACATCATCTATTTGTCTGTATTCTCACTAATGCATAGTGATGTTTTTCTCCAAGGAGATGATGTGTTCACTGAGGGAAGGGGTCATGACTTCTCATCCTTGTATCCCCAGCATCTGCTGATGAGGAAACATGAACAAAGGAACAAAGTCTCTTCCCAGAAGGTGATATATTGAACTATGGACAGGGGCTAAACAAACAGAGTTGAGGGTATTTTCCAGGCAATGATTATCATGCAGGACCATGCAATCAAATACTGGGAAGGAGGTGGGGAAGAAGCCGTGACAAGGTGGTAGTTTCAATGGGTTACAGGTTCCTGTGGGACTGGAGAACTGATTAGGTCAAGGAGAACTGCTTCTAAGTCCAAGTTCATCAACAATCTTTGGACCTAGATTTTTTCTGGAATGTAAAGACCATAGAGGTTGATGAGTCGAGTTTGAAACCACCAGGCACCAAGAGTCAATTGTAGGTACCGCTGGGTTTACACAGACCATGCTTCTTCCTTAGGGGTGCTGGGGTGCCACAGATCTTTGCATCAGTTGCAGTCTGGGGAATCCCTAGTTACCCTGCTGTGTGGAATACTGATGTGCTGCTCAAACCCTCCTGCAGGGCTGACTGAGGGGCTCCTCCCAGCTGCTGGGACTGCTAATGACAGAGCCCTCAGACTGCCAATGCCCAAAACTCTCTTGCTCAAGGTCACCCTCCTCCCAGGGGCAGCCAACACCTAATGAGGGTTAACATGAGGATACAAAGGCCTGGCCACCTCACCCCAAATTTGCACAACTCTGAAGGACTCTCCCAACTCTAGAGCTCCCCTCGGGGTTAGCTGCAGCCTTCATTGACATTGCTTGCAGCTCAGTTCTCCTCTGTCCAACCCTACGTCTCTCCCTTCCATTCAACAGGTGTTGACCCCAAGGACACGCAGCAGTAAGATCCCCACACACTAGTCCCCCAGAGTCCGCACATCTGCCCAAGTCCCCCGAGGTCACAGTCAGAAAGGGGCCGCCTTTCAGCTACTCACCAGACTTGGGGTTGCAGAGCACCGGGGGGCTGCTGCTGAGGGTGGGGCTGCTGCTGAAGTAGCCACTGCTGCCGCAGCTGCTCATGCTGCTCCTCCTCACGGCAGACACGATCTTGATCTCCTTGCTGGGGCTGACTGTGGGCGGGAAAACACACGGTCACGGAGGGTGGTGGTCTCGGTGTCTAGAGCACGTGGGCTTTCAGCTGCAAGGCGCAGCGAGATGAGTCACCTGTGCCAGAAAAGCCACTCTGGCTGGAGAGTGAGAAGAGCAAGGATCTGAGGAGCAACTCCGCCACTTACCAGCTGCACAAGCTGAGGCCATTCCCTTCAGTTCTCTGAGCCTCAATTTCCCCAACTACATAGTGACCATAATGCTATCTCAGAGGACCGGTGCAAGGACAAGGTTATATAATGTACGTGTAAGTACTCAGCTACATAAAATGTTACTTCAAGAGCCACTAAGCCCACGCTGAGCAATTCGTGGAAGGAAGTAAAGCAAATGCTGGCTATACACATAATGAACTAACAGTATTAATAAATGCCTCTTGACTTCGTATGAAAGCATGACCCAGCAGAGCCACGGAAGAGGAGATTAAAACACACAGCACACACTTAGGCTTTGTAAGTGTACGTGACACAGAGGCTTTGATGAGCTGATCTGGTTCTCTCTGCCACCAAGTTGGCTGGCTCTCAACAGGGAGAGGAGCCGGGTGTCTGTGAGGAAGGACAGAAGCCATGGAGAGAACTCAGCCTAGTGCCTGGCACGCGAGAAGCACAAAATGAAAGCTGGCTTTTATGGTGACCATGGTTACTACATCCTCCTTCTCATCATCATTACTTATTCAGGGCTGCTGGGCTCATTTAAGAAACAGGCGAATCTTAGTACAAGTGAGAATGTGAATGGTTACTCTGAATTTGCAGAACAAACCTTTTTTAAAAAATTGATTTTAGAGAAAGAGAGAGAGAGAGAGAGAAATATCAGTTTGTTGTTCCACTTATTTATGCATTCATGGGGTGATTCTTGTGTGTGTCCTGACAGGGGATCAAACCAGTTTATTGGGATGATGCTCTAACCAACTGAGCTACCGGCCAGGGCTGGAAGACCACACCATAGGCACCCATAAAATGGGGAGAAGAAAAGTCTTTCCTCTTCAAGTTATTGTGAAAATGAAATGAGAACGTTCTTGCAACCAAGCTTGACTCACTGACAGGGACACAGAAAATTCTCAATAGAGTCGCAAGTGTCCCTTCCTATACATAGCTAAGACACCCATGGTCATTTCGCCCTGGGGTTAAGCTCAGAGCTTCCAGACTTTAGACCAACCAGAGTCAATGCCAAGTTTCCATAGGAGCTAAGATACCGGTTTAAGCACCTCGGCCTCTTACACAGAATGACACATCAAGTCAACCTCTTCTGCATGAGTGCAATTATTTTTGAGAACATCAGTCAGCATCATTTCTGGCAGGGTTGGCTGTCAACATGAGACTGTTTAACCTTACACGTAATGTCCCAGGCGCTGTGCTTTAGTCCTGTGTCCGCTTTGCACAGCTCTTCTTTGCGCTGTGTCACCTTTCCCAATGGATCGACAATCGGTCGCCTTTTAGTTACGTATGCCCTCAGGAATCTTTATTCATCCTTAAACTAGATTGCTTTTCAATGCTGTGATTTAGAATCCTGGATAACTAATGATAATAACTGTTTATAGATAACAAGTAAATAAGTTCTGAGTGAGAGCCTGAGAGGCCTTCTATAAGACCAATACATCATTTTATAAAACAGACTTCATGACATCTAATTTGACTCCCCAGGAACGGTTTGGTTGTGTGTTTTTTCCCCTTTTGCATACTTCTTGGTTATGAATACATAAAAATTTGCTAGAGAACAGGATTTCTCAAAAGGGAGTTATTACTATACTGCTTCTCAAAAGACAGAAACGTGATCAAATGCACAATGGAACGGACCTACCTGACATAAAACTGGTGGATTTCCGATTGTCATGGCTCTGCTTCCTCAGGCAGAATGGACTGTCGTGCGTGTCCTGGGAGGGGGACTTTTCATTGAGCAGCTCCATGAGTCTGCGCCTCCGCCGGAAGTTCATTCTGAACTGGTAGAGAAGATTGCTGTCCACGAACGGGTGCTTGTTGGACACTGGGGAGAAGAGACAACAGATGAGGACCATTGGTGCGCGGCCACTGAGCACTGCAGGCAGAGGACTCCAGCCAATGGGCCAAAAGTGTTAAAGAAAGAATTTAGATCTTCCTGTCAAGACGGCAGCGTAGGTAAATGTGGTACTCGCATCCTCCCATAACCACATAAAAACTACAACTAAACTACAGAACAACCATCATTCAGAACCGCCTGAAATATAGCTGAGCAGAAGTCCTACAACTAGGGATATAAAGAAGCCACACTGAGACTGGTAGGAGGGATGGAGACACGGACTGGGCTGGTGCCACACCCACATGTGGTGGATAAAAACACAGCCCACCTAGGGGAGGTATACCTGGAGTGCCCAGCTCAGGTGAATGGGAAGGCTGTGCCCCTGGACCCTACAGGACCCTACTACATTAGGCCTCTCTACCAAGCCCAGGAGACGTAGCAGCTCTACCTAATACACAGAAACAAACACAGGGAGGCTGCCAAATTGAGGAGACATAGAAACATGTTCCAAATGAAAGAACAAAACAAAATTCCAGAAAAATTACTAAATAAAATGGAGAAAAGCAATCTACTAGATGCAGAGTTCAAAACACTGGTTATAACGATGCTCAGTGAACTTAGGAGAAGAGTCGATGAACCTAGAGAGAACTTCGAGAGCATAAGAAAGTACAAGGAAACCACACACACACAAAAATTTTTTTAAACCACAGATGGAAATGAAGGATACACTAACTGAAATGAAAAATAATTTACAGGGAATCAACAGTAGAGCACATGAAGCCAAGAATCAAAACAAATGTAAGTAAGCAAAAAACACCTAATCAAAATAGCAAAAAGAAAAAGAATCCCCCAAAATGAGGATAGTGTAAGGAGCCTCTGGGACAACTTCAAGTGCACTAACATTCACATCAGGAGGGTGCTGGAAGGAAAAGAGATAGAGCAAGAAACTGAAAACCTATTTTAAAAAATAATGATGGAGCCCTGGCCAGTTTGGCTCAGCGGTTGGAGCATCAGCCTGTGGACCAGAGAGTCCCATGTTCGGTTCCCACTAGGGGCACATACCAAAAAAAAAAGCAAACAAAAAAAATAATGATAGAAAACTTCCATAACCTGGTAAAGGAAATAGACATGCAAGTCCAGGAAGCGCATAGAGTCCCAAAAAAGATGAACCCAAAGAGGCCCACACTAGGACGCATCATAATTAAAATGCAAAAGATTAAAGAGAAAGAGGGAACCTTAAATGCAGCAAAAGAAAAGCAGTTAGTTACCTGCAAGAGAGCTTCCAACAAACGGTAAGCTGATTTCTCAACAGAAACTTTGCAGGCCAGAAGGGATTGGTAAGAAATATTCAAAGTGATGAAAAGCAAGAACCTACAACCAAGATTACTCTACCCAGCAAAGCTATCATTTAAAATCAAAGGACATATAAAGAGCTTCCCAGACAACAAAAAGCTAAAAGAGTTCATTACCACCAAACCAGTATTACATAAAATGTTAGAGTCTTCTTTAAGAAGAAAAACAAAGAGGAAGAGAAGAAAAAGATAAAAACTATAAACAATAAAATGGCAACAAATATTTGTCTATCAACAATTCAATCTAAAAGAATAAACAAAATAAACAAACAAGCAGAACAGAAATTGACTCATTAAAAATGAGAAAGAAAGAAAAGAGTGCAATTCTACAGATGCCATGTGAGCTTGTTGTCGACACATGGTGCCACATTCTTTCCATGTGTCATGCACTTTGAAAATTTGCTAATCATTTCCTCTGGGGGAACTTTGCCTGACCTACCCACAACCTGAGTTTTACTCTTCCGGGTGTTGTCCTACCCCCTAATTTACCTGTTCAGAGCACATACCACACTGACCTCGTTGGCCATTTACTTCTCTGGTTTTCCCACTAAACTCCTGGCTCTTTGGGGCAGTAACCGCAGCTTCATTGAGTTGTGTGTCCCCAGTGCCTGGCAGAACGCTTGTCCCATACCAGTGCGTCTATTCGTTTTTTAGTTTTGAAATAATTATAGACTCACAGAGAGTTGTGAAAATAACACAGAGAGCACATACTGTGTGACTCCATTCCTATGATATCTATAGGGACAAAGTGGGTTGGTGGTCACCAGCTATTAGAGGGGATCTAGGAGATTAGGGGCACGTGAGCTAATGTGTAGGATTTCCTTTTGAGGTGATGAAAATGTCCCCAGACTCTAAGGTGATGATTACACCTGCAAATATGCTATAAAACCAATGAATTGTACACTTTAAGTGGGTGGATTGTATGGTGTGTGAACTATATCTCAATAAATCTGTTTTAAAAAAATCAAGAACAGACAGTACAGAGTTTCCGTGTACACTTCACCCAGATTCCTCCAATGGTAACATCTTACATAAGTAACTATAGTGTAGTATCAAACCAGGACATTGGCATTAGTAGAATCTAGACTTTATTCAGATTTCACCAGTTTTTACATGCACTCATTTGTGTACATATGTGTGTGTAGTTCTATACAATTTTATCACATGTAGAGATTTGTGTAACCACCACCACACTCAGACAGAACTATTCCATCATAGCAGAGATACTTCCTCATGCTACCCCTTAATAGCTTTCCCCTCCGAGTCCACAGTGCCTAGCAACCACTAACATGTTCCCCACCTCTACAATGTTGTTGTTTTGAAGTATTATATAAATGAGTAACTCAGTATGTAGCTGTTTAAGATTGATGTCTAATGAACAATGGCTATCGAGTAATAAATTATTCCTAAGAACAATCTATACTTTAAAGTACTTAATCATGCCAGGCTGTCAACTCAAAATGAATAATAGCTAACCTTCACACTGCATGTTCTATGAGTCCAGCACTGGTTTTATATGTGTTATATGCTTTGTATGTATTAATTCCTTTAATTACAACAGCAGCCTAGGATAAAGATAAACCCAGAGAAGACCCCAGGGAATGGCAGAGGTAACCACAATATCTGACTCCAGAGTTCATGTTCCAAACCACTACTCCCAACTCCCTCAATCCCTGTGCTTGTTTAGGTTCTCATAAAGAACTGAAATAGCAACACAGTCTTTATGCTGTAAACTAAATAGAAAAGACAGCATAAGATCTACATTTATGTTAATGCCCAAATAATCATTTGAATGTTAAACACTGGGCATATGGTCTCAAAAATAGTTCTATTCTACTTGCCTGAAGTTCTGAAATGTGAGGTTTTAAGCCAATATTTCTGTGTGTGTGTGTGTGTGTGTGTGTGTGTGTGTGTGAACTGGATGTTATTTCTGCTGTAACAGAAATTTCTTTCCTACTGTTTAATAGTTAAAGGCAGTCGGAACTCCTGTAGCTTTGAAATAAATTGAGAGGGTTTCGTTGGCTCGTTTGTTTGTTTGTTTTACTTCTGTTTTCAACAAGACAGGTCAAAATCTCATTGTATTTTAGAGGTTTTACATGCATTCTGTAACAGCTTTACTGATACATAATTCACATACCATATATACCTATTGAATGTGTGCGGTTCCATGGCTTTTTGTATATTCCCAGAGTTGTGCATCCCATCACCACATCAACTTTAAAATACCTTCATCGCCCCAAAAAAGAAACCCCGCACTCCTCAGGAGTCACCTCCAATCTGCCCAGATCCACTAGTGCTTGACAACCACGAATCTACAGTATGTCTCTATAGATTTGAGTTTTCTGAGCATTTTATGTAAAAAGAATCATGCAGCATGCGGTTCAATGTGACTGGCTTCTTTTACTTTTATACTGTTCACAACGTGCAACCGTGTTGTAGCATGCATCAGTATTTCACTCCTTTTTTGTTGCCAAATAATATTCCAATGTATGGAGATACCACATTTGCTATCTATGCATTGGTGGATGAACATGTTTCCACTTGGTGGTTATAAATAATGCTGTTATTGACACTCATGTATAAATTTATGTGTGAATATATATTGTCATTTCTCTTGGGTTTACAGCTAAAAGTAGAATGGGAAGATTAGGTGGTAACTCTATATTTGGTGACTTGAGGGGCCGCTGGCCTCTTCTCCAATGGGGATGCCCCATTTTACATTCCCATTTACAGCAGCGTAGGAGGTCCCAATCACTCCACATCTGTATCAACACTTGTCATCGTTCATCTTTTTGTTGTTGTTGTTGTTGTTCAGGTAGAGTGGGAGGGAGAGAGAGGAACAGAGAGAGAGAAACATCGATGTGAAAGGAACACATTGAGTGGCTGCCACCTGCATAACCGACCAGGACTGGGGACAAACTGCAACCGAGGTACGCGCCCTTAGCGGGAACCGAACCCGGGTCTCTCAGGACCGCAGGCCGACGCTCTAACCGCTGAGCCAAACCGGCCAGGGCCATCTTTTTTATTATACTTATCCTAATGGGTATGAAGTGGTATCTTATTGTGTTTTTTTTCAATATGTTTTTATTGATTTTTTTTTATAGAGAGAGGAAGGGCGAGAGAGATAGAAACATTGATGTAAGCAAGACACATCAATCAGCTGCCTCCTGCACACCCCCTCCTAGGGATCGAGCCTGCAACCTGGGCCTGTGCCCTGCCCAGGAATTGAACCAGGACCTCTCAGTCCATGGGATGACGCTCAGTCCACTGAGCCACACCAGCTGGGCTCTTACTGCGGTTTTGATTTGCATTTCCCTAACGGTTAATGATGTTGAACATATTTTTATGTGCCTATTGTCAATCTGTATATCTTCTCTGGAGAACAGTCTACCTAGATCCTTTGTCCATTTTTTTCTAATTGGGTTGTCTTTTTATAATAGATTTTATTTTTTAATTATATTTTTCAATTACCATTTACATTCAATATTATTTTGTATTAGTTTCAGGAGTACAGCACAGTGATTAGACAATCATATACTTTACCAAGTGTTCCCCCTGATATTTCCAGTACTCGTCTGGCACTGCACATAGCTATTATGATATTATTGACTATATTCCCTGTGCTGTGCTTTACTC